CCATTACTATTACCACTGACACCATTATCATTGACAACCATTCTCACTATCATCACTACTGACTACTTTAATTGGTAATTATTATTACTAATGATTCTCATTATCATATTGGCAGGATTTGGATTCTGATTCCATTTCCTGGCTGTACGGACCAGTGAAGAGATGGCAAAATGATCTGCAATGTTAAATATTGATGCCTGTAGAATCAAGTCAGGCATTGTGCGCCCGGGTTTGGGAAAGGCAGTGGAATACAGAGTCCATCTTGTTTAATTTGTGCAATAGATTTATAGAAACACATAAATATGTATCATATACATCTAGATATCTTATAAAAGTGTAATCTTACTTCTGCTGGATATCTTCTAGGCTGCAACGTATTCTCTCGAGCTCCCGTTTAAGGTCATCCACCTCTGAAGATGGGTTTGATGCATTGTTCATCAGCTCCCTGAGCTCTGCTTCCTTCTGACACAGCAATAACTCCATACATTTTTTCTCTTCCTCTTTCTGCAGGACGGCTGTGTTGAGTGCCAGTATGCTACACCAAAGACAGAACACATTGGTAACACTATACTTGCCCTGCAGGGACTGCTGGATATTAATGCCAATGGGTTTTCAGCAGTTCAGCAAATGTGCATTTAGCTCCTAGTGAGATAACATTCCCTTCAGCTCCCAGCATTGTCACACCAGTGCCTTGGTGTGCCAATGTGTTCCTTGTGGCATTTTTTGCTCATCCCTCGATCCTTGCTTGGCCAGTTATAGAGAGTCATAGAGTCATACAGCACAGAAACAGACACCTCCGTCCAACTAGTCCATGCTGACCTTAACCCTAAACTAAACTAGTCCCATCTGCCTGCTCCTGGCCCATATCCCTCCAAACCTTTCCTATTGATGTACTTATTCAAATGTCTTTTAAACATTGTAACTATACTCACATCCACCACTTGCTCTGGAAGTTTATTGCATACATGAACCACTCTCTGTGTAAGAAAGTTGTCCCTCATGTCATTTTTAAATCTTTTCCTCTCACCTTGAAAATATGTCCCATAGTCTTGAAATCCCCCATCCTAGGGGAAAGTCACCTGCCATTCACCTTTTCTATATACCTCATGATTTTACACACCTCTATAAGGTCAGCCCTCAACTTCCTACACGCCGTTTAAAAGAGTCCCAGCCTATCCAGCTTTTGCCCATAACTCAAACTCTCCATTCCCAGCAACATCCTGGTAAATCTCTTCTCAACCTTCTCCAGATAAATAATATCCTTCTTATAACAGGGAGGCCAGAATTGCACACAGTACTCCAGAAGAGGGTAGATGAATCACATTATGTGACTCCTGGCCCAAATCTTTCTTTCATTCACGGGATGGGGGCATCGCTGGCTGGGTCAGTATTTATGGCCCACTCCTAACTGCCCTCAGGAGGTTTGTGGGGAGCTGCATTCTTGAACCACTGTGGTCCATTTAGGCTAGTTACACCTATGACGTTAAAGAGAATACTCCAGAATTGCATCACACATATTTCTATGATGGCAGGTTTCCTTCCTCTAAGGCCTGACTGAACCAGTTCGGAAATTTTTTATCATCTTCAAATTTTATTCAGTCTCTTTAAGATAAAGATTCTGACCCTACCAAGCAGGCCAGTCTCCATAAATACAAGAACGTTCACTGATCTTGAGAATGGAACACTGGAGCAAATAAAGTAGGCTCTCTATAAGCCAAACAGTGTGGAGCTGGAGGAACACAGCAGGTCAGGCAGCATCAGAGGAGCAGGCAAGTCAACTGATGAAGGGTCCACGCCCGAAGCATTGACTCTTCTGCTCCTCTGATGCTGCCTGACCTGCTGTGTTTCTCCAGCTCCACACTATTCACTTTGACTCCAGCATCTGCAGTTCTTACTACCTCTGAGTAACTTAGGCTCTCTATAATACATTAGATGTCACAAATTAAAATCTTATTTTAATTATAATTACATCTGAAACAAGTCTGGATGACAAACTTTCATGTTGTCAGCTGTAAGCTCATTTGGGAAATGGAGACTTGTCCTTAAAATTCAGGAAAGGTATGACCTTCTCCGTTACCCACTTCACAGAATCCCTACATTGCAAGGAGAGGCCCACTGAGTTTGCACTTACTCTCTGAAGAACATTCCACGCAGACCCAAAGCACCCCCCACCCAATCCCTATAACCCTGCATTTCCCATGCCTAATCCTCCTAGCCCACACATCCCTGGACACTATGAGCAATTTAGCATGGCCAATCCACCTAGCCTGCACATCTTTGGAATGTGAGAGGAAACCAAAGCACCCTGAGGAATACCACGCAGGGAGAATGTGCAAACGCCACACAGATAGTTGCTCAGGGGTGGATTTGAACCCAGATCCCTGGCGCTGTGAGTGCTAACCACTGAGTCACTGAGCAGCCCATCCTACTAGACACTCACGTTCCACACCCAGCTCCAAGCCAAATGAGTCAGACTTCCTCTCCATCTAAAGTTTGAGAATAGGTTGAGATCATTTCAGTCCCAAGGCCACTGATCATTCGCTTTACTGGGTAAAACTGTGTCCAGCCCTTACAGCCAATCCTCATCCTGAAATTACAGATCTGATTTCCTGACTTCCCTTACCTACATTGTTCTAACATGCCAGAGGTTGCTCACCTTGGAGTCAAGCTGTGAATAAGCCGCAGGAACTCTGAGCTCTGAGCCAGATCTAGATAGGACACCGTTTAAGGTGCCATTGCATGGATTGTAGCTCTCTGCTCTGTCCTGGGTCTCAACAGCCTTCCCAATGTTGGAGAATGACATTTACACCCACATCCTGAATGGCTGTGTGAACTGTCAGTGCTGGTTCATTGCTAGCATCTCACCGATTAAATCTAAATGAAGCTGTTCCAAGAACCCTAGGCGAATACACTTACGTTCACCAATAGTGAAACCTGCGCTCATTATTTCAGCTTGCATGGATTATTTGTACAGCCAATTTACAAACAGTCATAGAGACATGCAGCAGGGAAAAAGACCCTTTGGTTCAACTCACCAGCATCAACCAGGCATCCCAATCTGACCTAGGTCCATTTTCCAGCATTTGGCCCATATGCCTACAACCCCTTCCTATTCATGCACCCTTACAGATGTCTTTTAAATGTTGTAATTGTTGAAATTAAAGTAAACAAGTTTTAACAATTGTGTTTGTTACTCTTCACTCTTGCTTTCTTGTTTATGCTCCAAAAGCTACTCAGGACAAGGGGTGGCATGGTGGCTCAGTGATTAGCACTGCTCCCCCACGGCACCAGGGACCCAGGTTTGATTCCACCCTTGGATAACTGGCTGTGTGGATTTTGCATGAATCTTCCCTTGTCTGCGTGGGTTTCCTCCAGGTGTTTCCTCTCGCGGTCCCAAGATGTACAGATTGGTGGATTAGCCATGCTAAATTGCCCATAGTGTACAGGGATATGCAGGCTAGGTGGATTAGCCATGGGAAATGCAGGATTGGGTCTGGGTGGGATGATCTTTAGAGAGTTGGTGTGGACTCAATGGGCTGAAAAGCTTGCTTCCATGCAGTAGGGATTCTATGATTCTAAAAGTTTACTCACCTTTCCCTGAATTCAGCAATCATTTGGGAATTTTTGAGGTTGTTCATTTCAATCTGCATTCGTTCTTTACAGTTCTGGTCCAGTTGATCATGTAGAGCCTGGATTTCTTTGTTGTACATATTGCGAGCAGCTACCATTTCCTCTTCCAACTCTTGGATGCGTTTCAAATCATTGGAACTATCAGACTAGACAAAAGGAAAAATTATACGCCGTTACCTAAACTCAGCATGTTGAGCTTTATGGATGATGTCACTGAGGTTTAACACCCAAGCTTTCATCATTTGGTGTGGGTCTGATTCAAACCTAGATAATAACATTAAAGTGTCCTCTTCCCGCTACAGCTCAGATTTACAATTGGGTTCAAATTCATGATCTCTCTCCTCTCGAGTTTTGTAACCTCCTCCAACCCTACAATGCTCCAATATAACCATGCACCAGTCAGTTCTGACTTTAATCATTACACCACTATTAGACGTGCCTTTAGTTCCCAATGCCTTAAACTCTGGAATTCTTTCCACACAACTTTTCGTCTCTCTGTACAACATGAGAAAGAAACCTCTTCACAAAGTGAGTAGTCCCAGTTTGTAATGCAGTGCCTGGGAATGCAGTGGAGGCAAGTTCAATCAACACATTCCAGAGGGCATTGGGTGCTTATTTAAACTGAAACAATGCGTCGGGTTATTGGAAAAAGGCAGAAGATTGGCACTAAGTTAAAGTGCACAGAGAGCTGGTACAGGCACGATGGGCTGAATGGCCTCCTTCTGCACTGTACCAATTGCCACACCGCCCACCTCCCCAGTTAAAATCTACTTCTTTGACCAAGATTTTAGTTACCTGAACAAATATCTCCCTATGTGGCTCAACATCAAACCCTGTTTGACAATGCTCCTCAGAAGCAGCCTACAACTTTTAACTATTTTAACAGCACTATATTGTTATGGTCCAGACCAAACCCCCCAAACTATATTACGACGATAAGACTAGACACTAACATTTTGTGATGTTAAAGACAACTGCCAAGCATTGCATTCCAGATGCAATTCGATTGGCTAAACTACCAGATTTGAAGTAAAACGCACTTTACTCATATGCTATAGTTAAGATACGACAAAAGAAAGAAGAATCTGGAATAACTTAAATCAACTGCCACCCACCCCCTCCCCTGCCCCAAATACATCAAGGAGATAGCCTAGACTCTAACTTTTATCTTATTTAAAGACAAGCGTAAAGTGCTTTGTCCCAGATGTAATTCAATTGGTTATATTACACGGCTATAAGCAAAACACAGTTTATTCTTACCCTATAGTTAAAATACAAACAGAGGAAGGAGAATTGGTATAATTTTAACTCTATTGGATGACTTAACAGAATAATAGATTATTTAACTACTAAACAGCGACTTTTCCAATGTAGTAACACTCCTAAACACACCCTCGGCAAAGGCAAATTCAGCAAAATAGATTGTCTCACATGTAATGTTTCTCCAGTCCAGGAGGAAAGAACATCAAGAGAAAATTCTGGCAGAGAGAGAGAGAGAACTCAAGCAATTTTCTATAGCATGGAGAGATTTATGGTAGCTTCAAAACCCCAAAACCTACTGAAAGCTAAACCAAAACCTTGGGTGCGAGGGAGTCTGACTCCACCCATTCATGCTGCTTCTACGGTTCTAACTTTAAAAAAAACCCCAAGGCCTCACAAGTTGTTTACTTTATTGGCTTGGAACAAACCGCTCTCTATCTGTCTCAACCTCTCTTCCTAAACCAAAAGGACAAAATACACCTCTTTAAACCATAGTATCATCACAGACTCAAGCACAAAATCTAGGATTTTGTTAATTAATATTATGCCAACAGCAAAGAAATTAAGTTTCTAAAAAGACTGAGAATTGCATTACATGGTTCATTTTAAAAGGTCACCTTTCCTGTCTGGCTTTTCGAATGTGATTTTAGGGGGTGTCCAATTTGCGAATGTCCAACTTACAAGAGTTCTAATGTGATTCCATACAGGTCTGTGATTTTAAAATCTAATTTCTTCAGTGCAGTCCTGAGGCCTGGTGCATTGAGGCCTTACTAACCCTATCAGGTAGATAAAAAATCATCCATGGCACTCTTTGAAGAAGTTTGGAAAATTTCTCCCCCCTCCACAATCCTGACCAATATCTACCCCTCAACTGACATCACTCAAAAGAGAAATGAACTTGTTTTTATTGCATTGTTGCCATTTGTGAGGGCTTGTAGCATGGAAATTATTTCCTGTGGTTACTACACCTTACAAATATTGGCTGTAAAACACTTTGAGAGATCCTGCACTAAATAGAGTATCTTTTCCAGGAACACCTCATAACATGATTGAATGGTTTTGGTTCTTCAGCTTACAGCTTTCAGCTTCACCCTGGCTGTGTGCACCCAGCTCAATCTGTGGCAGTATAACTTCTGTCTGGTGTGAAGCCAAGTGGAGACCATTCTCTAGCATTTACTATTCAAACCTCATCTTAAATTATTTTGTGGAATGAGCAGGCTGTCATCAGCGATACGTTTGGGAATTTTGGTACACGGTCACATAAATTACCCACTTTAAAACAGATAACTGAGAGGCCAGGAGTGCTATTTGACTCAGTAACAGTGAGCTGTGAAAATACAAACATTCCCCATTGTTTCTGCTGGGCTGTAAATAGATAAGGTTTATTTAAACTAAACAGATAATGATTAGACAAGAGGAGAGTTATGTTCTGATTACTGGTTGTGTAGAGAACAGAAAGCTCAGCAATTGACTGGGTAACTGAAATAATTCCACAGAGGATGGTATCCCATCACCACGTCACCCTTTATTTACACATGGAGAGCCCTTGACACTGATCCAGCTCCCTCAGAGCCAGCTCTCAGCGTGAACAGAACCCCTGACACTCCTGTTTATACCTGTCAGCCAGGGATCCCTGATTGTTGGATTCCAGAGCGAATTTTATTAAAGACTGGTTCGGCAATCATTGAAACATCCGCACCGGTATTGACCTCCGTTACAACCGGGTGACCATTTAGCCAGACGGTTATTTCGATTGGTTCTGATGAGTTCTCTTACTCAGCTTAGGTCCAGTGAGACTCTTTTTTGCTGTCTTGAGTCCGCACACCAGCAGCAATCACAACGGCTTGCTGTGCCGGAACCTGAAGAAAATGTAAACTGTTTGGCCAAGGCTTGGCTTTGTTTTGATGTTTTGCTGTAATGTATTGGATTTCATGGTTGCAAGTAGGGTCTGATATGTAAACTAATGTTTAAACATACAGTGAATATGCCACCGCGCACCCCCCCTCCACCCCCGTTGTTTTGTATCCTGTTTTAGTTCAGATAATGTGATTGACTGAGACTCCCTCTGTTGAGGATATGTCCTGAGAGAGGCTATGCAATTGCCTTCAGTCACGTATCATTTCCCCAAGCTGAGTCAGACTGGTGACAGTGTCCACTTCCATTGGAAATGTCCTGTATTTTCCATGCTCCACTTGCTGCATTTTCCAATGATAAAGCCAGTTGCCGTGCCTGTTTGAAGTCAAGTTCGGCTTCAGCTAGTCAGCACCTTTGCATGGTTACATAATTAGTCCCACATACTAAGCTATCCCTCAGCATCTCATTGAGGGCAATTGCCTCTGCTAGTCATCTTAACCTAGTCAAAAATCCCGACATGGATTCCCCTGGTTCTCGAATTGCTGAGTAAAACCAATAGCATCTCAGAATTAGAGGAGGCTCAGGGTCATAATATTCCTTAACTAAATCCGCCAACACTTGAAATGTTTTAGTATCTGGTGCCTCAGAGAAAGTTAGGTCCCCAAAAACCGAAAAAGCTGCGGAACGACAAGTTGTCAGGAGAATTACTGGTTGCTTTACGTCTGCCCCAATGTCAATTGCCTGGAAAAGGTAACACATTCTTTCCACATAGAATCCCTACAGTGTGGAAACAGGCCCTTCGGCCCAACAAGTCCACACTGACACAAAGAGCATCCCACCCAGACCTATTCCCCTAATCCACACATCCCTGAACACTACGGGGAATTTAGCATGGCCAATCCACCTAACCTGCACGTCTTTGGACTGTGGGAGGAAACCGGAGCACCTGGAGGAAACCCACACAGACACGGGGAGAACGTGCAAACTCCACACAGACTGTCGCCCGAAGATGGACTCGAACCCAGGTCCCTGGCGCTGTGAGGCAGCCGCGCTAACTGCTGAGCCACTGTGCCGCCCTAACAACTAAAACCCTTTTGCCTCTATGCGGTCCATTTCTGTCTGTTCCCTGCCTATGCATATATCTATCAAGATGCCTCTTAAATGCTGCTAATATATTTGCCTCCACCACTTCCTCTGGCAACGAATTTGAGGCACTTGCCACCTCTGTGTAAAAACACTTGCCTGTCAGATCTCCTGTAAACTCATCTCCTTTCGCCTCACATCTATGTCCCCTAGTAACTGACACAACTACCCTGGGAAAAAGACAATGACTCTCCATTCTATTCTTGCCTCTCATCATTTTGTAAACTTCTACTAGGTCACCCCTCAACCTTTGATATTGAAGTGAAATCAAACCAAATTTGTTCACTCTCTCCTCATAGCTAATTCCCTCCAAACCAGGCAACATCCTGGTCAACCTCTTTTGCACCCTCTCCAAAGCCTCCACATCCTTCTGATAGTGTAGCAAACAGAACTGTTCACAATATTCCAAAACATGGCCTAACTGAAGTTCTATACAGCTGCAACATGCCTTGCTAATTTTTATACTCTCTGCCCTGGCTGAAGATGACAAGCATGCCATATGCCTTCTTGACCACCTTATCCACTTGTGTTTACTGGGGCCAGTCTTCGACGGCAGGATCAAACAAGTCAAGCCTACCAAATAAGCCAAAAATGCTTACTTCAACTCAAAGATGACTATTGCGAGTGAATTTCTTCAGGAGCATTTTTGTTTTCTTTTGCTGCCATTGAAATAACTCCACAGAGGGCAATATCCCATCACCAAGTTACCCTATATTGACACAGGTCTGGCATCCTCAGAGCCAGCTGTCAGAATGAACAGAACCTTGGACACTCCTACTTATATCTGTCAGCCAGGGCTCCCTGATTGGACCAGATTAACATTGCCAATCAGGCAACTCATTTTCTATGATGTCCACTTGGCTGACCTTGTTACAATCACTACAGTAAC